GTACGTACTCTCCTCGGAAACGTAAAATGATTGGCTAGAATCTAAAGTGTATCACAGCTCAGGAAAAATAAAGCACCGAAATGTGCGCTGCTTTTCGGTCTGGTTACTCAGTAGTCTTCATTGCTCAGGGATGTTTTTGTTATGGACACAGTAACAATCAAAGATCTGAGAGACACTTTTGTAAATCCAGTTGTAAGAAATGGTCAATTTGTTGATCTCCAAGGGATTGTTCCCAAGTATTTGGAAACCACACTTGCACACAGGCAATCCTTAAGTTACACTTACATACCAATCGGGATTCTGCTAATTATCTAAGTAGCTGAAAAACTGATAGCTGATCAGTTTCACTTATTTAAACAGCGATTGTACTTTTTAACACCAAAAATGGAGTTTAGTCTTCAAGTCAATCATTCCATTCTTTGATCATTTTTACAGAAAAGGTAAAAGCATTTGAAACTGTTATGACACTGTATATTGTTCTCCAAAACAGATAATGGTAATTTTTCCTCTGTGTATTTCAGCAAACTGTATATGGTTCAGGAGCTCAAAAAATAACTTCAACCATATTTAAGTGCGTACCCACAGGTGTTCCTCAAGGTTCAATCCTAGGTCCTCTTGTTTTCTTTGTATATTAATGAGTTTCCATCTGCTTGCTCTGGAGCTAATATGTGTATGCAGATGATGTAATAGTGAAACTGCTGCTAAACAAGCGTTACCACGTCTGAATCATTCTCCTTTTCATTTAAATGCATCTAAGACAGCGTGCATCTTTTACCAAATCAAGTGGAAAAAACAAAATCAGGATGTTCTGAGTCAAATGTTTAGATATCAACTCTTAATTAAACTTTAAGTCCCAAATAAAAAAAGATTTGTAATATAGTTTAATATTTACAACTTAAATATATATGAAATATGTTCATACAGCTTAAGTTACATATATTTTGTCCTCCATATTATTTTAGTATTAATTTGTTCAGCTCAGTTCCTTTACTCTTCATATAATAGATGCATTAAAAACCCATATCATGAGTTTAGTGCATTTATCAAATACATGAATTTGCATCTTTAATTAAATCAATTATGAAACAATATAGCTCCTCATTGATTTAGTTCATTACCACCAGGATAAAAAGAGACCAAATTACACATTTGAATAGAGAGGGCTGTATTATTCCTTTAAAGGATGTCTGGTCTTAATGCATTTTCTGTAAAGGCTGTGCAACAGTAGATCACCACACCCATTAGTTTCAAAGATCAGAACACATTTTCAATGAAAACTGAAGACTGTTGAATGATAATGTCAGTACTGAGCCAAGTTTTACTTTAGCCAGTATGTCCCTTCTCCTTATATAAAATTGATGCGTTTTGATTCTAGTGTTCTTTCAAGACCCAAACTGGGACTACAGCTGAAAATTAGCTCATGGCCAACTCTGGTGCATTTTCAACTAATTTTATTAACATTTCCCAGTTTTAAAATTAAATGTGTAAACTTATTTACACTGAAACAGGAATCTCACCCCTTTGGCCCACTTAAGATCAGAATGTGCTTCCTTTGCACAGTTAAGCCTCAGACATGTCTATAGACTGGTCAGCAACCCCTTCAAAGCGTGAAATGCTTTAAACTCGATTCCAAATTCTAGTTTGCGTTCCCTAGGTGGTCACAGTTGTCCCTAGCGACCTGCCATGGTTCACCATTTGTAGCTTCATAGTCCTAGAGACCAAAGTTACAATTACTGAAGTAAAATGAAAACAAAGCACAGGAAGAACAGTTTCAATAATCTTTATTTCATAAAAAAGTCAAATCGGCTTATCAGATTAAAGAAAGTAGAAACCAATAATAATCGTTAGCTGGCGAGGCATTTTACAGGGGGGCGTGTCTTCTGACAAACTGACCGGAGCGACCTCGACAGGCAGTACAAGTTTACCCAAAAAGTCAAGAAGGCGAAGTTTAAGACTGAACAGGAGCCAAAACATGAGCCGAGTCAATTTTAAAAAGAAAAAATAAAGAGGGGGAGAAAAGAAAAGACTTTGGCTGTAGTCGCATGAAGATAACCTCAGACTTATGAGCAGCAGCCACTGAAAATCAAACACGTTTTCATAATCCAAATTACAGAGGGCATCAAAATGACCAAAGAAGGGAAGAGAAGGGGAGAATTTGTCATTTTCTGCTCCCACTGCCCTCCATACTGCGAGTTAAGGACCCGTTTTATTTGGACAAACTAAGCGTTTGGTAGTGGTGGAGGATTGTTTGCATTTGTGGATAAATAAACCGTAACAGGATGTAGAAGGAGGGAAAAGGGCAAAGACATTCTACTGCTCCTGCTCCTACTTTTTAAAAGAAAAACAAAAGAAAAACGAAGCTCGTCTGGCAATTGAGGTTTTAGTCCGCCTCCTCTTCCTCCGATTCCGACTCTGCCGAGAGAAAACACAAGAGGACAAATCAGTCAAGACGCTGATCACTTTACAACATCTTGTGAATGAGTAAAACGATGATTTGATTGTGATTGTCTTTAAAGTATTTAAGACCTCCTTCTTCTCATGACTGTACAGTCATTTAAAGACTGAGACTTTCCCCAACTACCTGGTTGCCTCCAGCACCCTGTGCATGTGAAGAACTCGCCACTAAAAACCAAACAACATGCAGTCATCCTTTGCTCCAGTGAATACATCAGGACTAAACGCTGATCTGGTTTCAGAGGATTTCAAACAAGAAAAATACTCACTCTCCCAGGATTAGAGACTGTTTGTGACGCCTGGCAATCATCAGTCACTAGAGAAACTTTTATTTTGGCCAGTTTGTTAGTGCTGGGTAAAAATCAGTAACAAAAAGGCTGCATGGAAACCCCTTGATTGGTGACAATTTGTCTCAATTGTACAGACAAAACCTGCAAACTAGGAGCAGGTG